TACACAGACGAAGTATACAAAAAAAATCTTCATGACCCAAATAACCATGATGGTGTGATCACTCAACTAGAACCACACATCCTGGAAAGTGAAGTCAAGTGGGCCTTGGGAAGCATCACTACGAACAAAGCTAGTGGAGGTGATGGAATTCCAGTTGAGCTATTTCAAATCCTAAAAGATGATGCTGTGAAAGTGTCACATTCAATATACCAGCACATTTGGAAAACTCAGCAGTGGCCACACGACTGGAAAAGTTCAGTTTTCATTCCAATCCCAAAGAAAGGCAATGCCAAAGAATGTTCAAACTACCGCCCAGTTGCACTCATCTCACACGCTAGTAAAGTAATGCTCAAAATTCTCCAAGCCAGGTTACAACAGAACATGAACAGTGAACTTCCAGGTGTTCACGCTAGATTTAGAAAAGGGAGAGGAACCAGAGATCAAATTGCCAACATCTGCTGGATCATTGAAAAAGCAAGAGAGTTCCAGAAAAACATCTATTTCTGCTTTATTGACTATGCTAAAGCCTTTGATTGTGTGGATCACAACAAACTGTGGAAAATTCTGAAAGTGATGGAAGTGAGTACCAGACCACTTTACCTGCCTCCTGAAAAATCTGTATGCAGGGCCAAGAAGCAACAGGTAGAACTGGACATGGAACAACAAACTGGTTCCAAATCTGTATTTGGAAAGGCTGTATATTGTCACCCTGCTTATTTAACTTATATGCAGAGTACATCATGAGAAATGCTGGGCTGGATGAAGCACAAGCTGGAATCAAGACTGCCGGAGAAATATCAATAACCTCAGATATGCAGATGACACCACTCTTATGGCAGAAAGCAAAGAACATCTTCATGAAAGTTAAAAAGGAGATGGAAAATGTTGGCTTAAAACTCAACATTCAGAAAACTAAGATCATGGCATCCACTCTCATCCCTTCATGGCAGATAGGTGGGGAAACAGTGGAAACAGTGGCTGACTTTCTTTTCTTAGGCTCCAAAATCACTGCAGATGGTGACTGCAGCCATGAAATTAAAAGACACTTACTCCTTGGAAGAAAAGCTATGACCAACCTAGACAGCATATTAAAAAGCAGAGACATGTACCGATAACCCTATATGCAAAACAGAAAAAGAGACTCCGATGTATAGAACAGACTTGTGGACTCTGGGAGAAGGCGAGGGTGGGATGTTTCAAGAGAACAGCATCGAAACACGTATATTATCTAGGGTGAAACAGATCACCAGCCCAGGTTGGGTGCATGAGACAAGTGCTCGGGCCTGGTGCACTGGGAAGACCCAGAGGGATCGGGTGGAGAGGGAGGTGGGAGGGGGTACCGGGATGGGGAATACATGTAAATCCATGGCTAATTCATTTCAATGTATGACAAAAACCACTGCAATGATGTAAAGCAATTAGCCTCCAACTAATAAAAATAAATGAAAAAAATAAATTAAAAAAAATAAAATAAAAAGCAGAGACATTACTTTGCCAACAAAGGTCCGTCTAGTCAAAGCTATAGTTTTTCCAGTAGTCATGTATGGATGTGAGAGTTGGACTATAAAGAAAACTGAGCACCGAAGAATTGATGCTTTTGAACTATGGTGTTGGAGAAGACTCTTGAGAGTCCCTTGGACTGCAAGGAGATCCAACCAGTCCATCCTAAAGGAGATCAGTCCTGAGTGTTCATTGGAAGGACTGATGTTGAAGCTGAAACTCCAATACTTTGGCCACCTCATGCGAAGAACTGACTCATTTCAAAAGACCCTGATGTTAGGATAAGATTGAAGGCGGGAGGATAAGGTGACGACAGAGGATGAGATCATTGGATGGCATCACCAACTCAATGGACATGAGTCTGAGGAAGCTCTGGGAGTTGGTGATGGACAGGGAGGCCTGGTGTGCTGCAGTCTTTGGGGTCACAAAGAGTCAGACACAACTCAGCAACTGAACTGAACTGTTGCCCTTTACCAACCTGAAGTTCCCTTCTGTTCTTAATTTGATGAGAACTTTTTAAAGTATTGTAAATGGGTGTTAATATTTGTCAAATGCTTTTTCCGTGTCTATTGAATGATCACATGGTTTTTTTTCTCCTTTAGTTATGTTAATATGGCAATTTACAATGATCTATTCTCAAATGTTAAATACTGGCTACACAGGAGGGTACATTTGAATTCCTGGAATAATCCCAATTAATCATGATATATTGTCCTTTTTTATCTTCCCAGGTAGCACAGTGGTTAAGAATCCTCCTGCCAATACAGGAAGTGCAAGAGATGCACGTTTGATCCCTGGGCTGGGAAGATCCCCGGAGTAGGATATGGCAACCCATTCCAGTATTCTTGCCTGGAAAATCCCATGGACAGAAAAGCCTGGCAGGGTGCAGTCCTTGGGGCTGCCAAGAGTCTGACATGACTCAGCATGCACGTGTGCCTGTACTTCAAGGGAGAGCTGCATGCTAACAATGCTAACTAATGTCAACAGAGAAGCAGATAAGTTAAGAGTGGTACAGATTTGAGCTGGATAATCATCAATAAGGTTCAATTCACTCATATTTTGTTTAGGATTTTAGTTCATTATATTCATGAGGAGTACTGGTCTTGTAATTTTTCTTTTTTGTAATGTCTTGTCTTATTTTGGTAGCATGTTTTTCCTGGCCTCATGAAACAAGATGGGAAGCATTCCCTCTTCATCTGTTCTCTGGAAGGGTTTGTGTACTAGTGGTATTACTTCTTCCTTAAATGTTCAGCTGCAACCACCAGTGAAATCATCTGGCATCTGGAGTTTTCTCAACTGGAAGAGTTTTAATTTCAGTTTCAATATCTTTAACAGGGGTTATTCAAATTGTTCTAGTTCCTCTCAGGTCAGTTTCATTAAATTATGGTTTTTGAAGAACTTATCTGTTTATCAATGTTATCAAATTTATTGCCATGAAGTTATTTGTAACATTCCCCTTCTCTTCTTTCGGGCTTCCCAGGTGGCAGTAGTGGTAAAGAGCCCGCTTGCCAATGCAGGAGACACAAGGGACATGGGTTCGATCCCTGGGTGGGTAAGATCCCCTGGAGGAGGGCATGGCAACCTGCTTCAGTATTCTTGCCTGGAGAATCCCATGGACAGAGGAGTCTGGCGGGCTGCAGTCCACGTGCTGGCCACGCCGTGCCCCCTTAACACTGTAAGACTTCTCACTGCTCCTCTTCACTACCTCACCTCCAGAGTGGGATACACAGTTTTGAGGGGCTTCGCCAGCTGTGCAGCACTTTGCCTGGCAAAGCAATAACTACTTTTTGTTACTTCACCCAAAACTCTGACTCCGTGTTTCTGTTTGGCACCAGTGAACAGAGGCTGTTTTAGCAACAATCATTTGTTTTCTTTCTTTCTCTCTTTTTAAAATTTATTTTTAAAATTATTTGTTTATTTATTTTTGGTCCCACTAAGGCATGTGGGATCCTGGTTCCCTGACTAGGGATCAAACCTCTGCCCCCCACATTGGAAGGTGAAGCCTTAACCAATGGACCACCAGGGAAGTCTCTCTTTTGAAAATTTCTTGATCAGTCTCACTAGGCATCTGTCAATTTTATTAATCTTTTTAAAGAATAAACTTTGCCTTTTCTGACTTTCTCTTCTGCTTTCTGTTTCATTAGTTTCTGCTCTTTATTAGTTCCTCCATTCTACTTTCTTCAGGTTTCACTCACTCTTCCTTTTCTAGACTCTTAAGTTTGAGCTTAGATCACTGATTTAAAATCTCTCTTCTTGCCTAGTATATTCAATTAAAGTCATAAATTTTCATCTCAGCACTGTTTTAGCTGTATCTCCAAAACAAATCAATCAACTAAGAGTCATTCCAATTCTTTGGTTGGTCCTGGGTGGGAAACCTTCTCTTAGGCATTAGAGAGGAAGGGGGTGGACAAGAGCACAAAGAAACTTTGTCAGGTGACGGTAACGCTCCACAGGGTGACGGGAACGTTGGCTACATAGGTGCGTACACCTGTCAAAGATGCAATGGTCAGACTTGCCCGGTGGTCCAGTGGCTAAGAATCCACCTGCCACTACAGGGGACGTGAATCTGATCCCTGCTCCAGGAAGATTCTACGTGATGCAGAGCAGCCCAGCCGGAGGGCCACAACGACCGAAGCCCTCGGGCCCTAGAGCCCACGCTCTGCAAGAGAAGCCGCTGCGAGCAGAAGCCTGCACGCCACAACTAGAGAGCAGCCCCCACTGGCCGCAACTAGAGAAAGCCCACATGCGGCAACAGAAATCCAGCACAGCCACAAGTAAACAAAGAAATGTTTCAAGATGCAGTACTCTATACTGAAAACCTGAACTGCATATAGCACTAGGAGGTAGGCATCAGTGCCTTTTTGTAAGTGAAAAATCTACGGCTCACAAGAGCTAACTGTGATATATAAACGTCATACATTAAGCCAGTGAAAGAGTCTGGAGTTAATAAACCTGTGTCATCAGAACCCTTGCTGTTTGCATGCTACCATACGTTATTTGGGGCTTCCCCAGTAGCTCAGACAGTAAAGAATCCACCTACAGTGCAGGACACTTGGGTCTGATTCCTGAGTTGAGAAGATCCCCTGGAGAAAGCAACAGCAACCCACTCTAATATTCTTGCCTGGGAAATGCCATGGACAGAGGAGCCTGGTGGGCTACAGTCCATGAGGTTGCAAAGAGTCAGACACAACTGAGTGACTAACATTAACACTACACATTATTTTATCTAGGTACTTATACACACACATAGAGACTGAGATAAAGAAAGAGACAGACAGATCCTATGCAGCATGCATTTAATATGTGGTTGGGGGGAGGGATGTGGAGGAGAATGGGTACATGTATAAGTATGGCTGAGTCCCTTCACTGTTCATCTGAAACTATCACAACATTGTTAATCAGCTATATCCCACTATAAAATGTTTTTGGTGTTAAAAAAAAAAAATTTAATTTAAAAAATGCATGTGGCGGGAACAAGTCAGACTCCCCAGCAAGCTTACCTCACTGCCATCAAACAGACAGAGGCGCACGTGTCTGCTCAGAACTTGGATGCTCACCCCTGGAAGAGGAATCACCTTGCAGCTCCAGAGAGTCAGAATCAAGGAGACACGGCTCGGTCTTGACCTGATCTGCAAGAGAAATCAGTTACGAGTAAGGTCTGCTTTTATGACTTATGAGACAAATTCACTTTCTGAGCACCTTTTGTAAAGAGTAACCATACTTACAGAGCCAGTTTTTGCATCCCACATTAGATCTCTGAAGGCCAGTTGGGAAGGTGTGAGCTCTGGCTGTAAGAAGTAACTTGCTCGAAATTGATTCCCTGCAAAAATAATTTTTCCTTTATAGTCTTACAAAGAATGAACGAAATTCAAAACCCCAAATCCATGATGTTACGGTACAAACTTAGGAAACAGACGTCAAAAATACCATGCATGCTGTTTGCTAGAAACTTGCTTCCTAAGACAGACATACCAACAGAGATAAGAACAGGAAGAAACATCAAGATGGAAGCACACAAGAGCTGATCTTAAAGCAGCTTCAGGAAAGACCTTAAGACTGTCAGGCCGGTAACATACCCCGTGATGAAGATGACCCATTCAAATATTTTTGTAAAATGCAGAAAATCTGTAACCACATTTTGGACATTCTAGAAAAAGGGTATCATCATTAATTTTACTTCTTTACATGAAAGTATTTTAATGCTGTTTTTCCATAATTTAGTCATGAATAGTTATTACAAAATCTATTCAGACAGTCCCTTAATGGCAAGGAGATCAAACCAGTCCATCCTAAACGAAATCAACCCTGAATATTCACTGGAAGAACTGATGCTGAAGCTGAAGCCCCAATACATTGGCTACCTGACACGAAGAGCTGATTCACTGAAAAAGACGCTGATGCTGGGAAAGATTGAAGACAAGAGAAGGGAGTGACAGAGGATGAGATGGTTGGACAGCATTACCCACCGACTCAATGGACATGAATCTGAGCAAATTCCAGGAGATAGCGAAGGACAGGAGAGCCTTGGCGGGCTGCAGCCCAGGGGATCGCAGAGTCAGACATGACTTAGTAACCGAACAACAACAACGAATCTGCTATGCTAGGAACTGGAAACACCAAGGTGGATCAGAGAGATACGTCCCCTGCCCCCATGAGCTTACAGCTCAGTGGGCGAAAATAGTTAAGAAACACAGGTAGACAGAAGACTAGATATTATAAGCTGACTTAGACCTATAAAGGGTACTGACATGGATGAGAGTGGGAGAACCTACAAGGAAGGTGTCTCTGGGAAGGTGGCGTTTTACCCTGAGATAGGAGCATGAGGAGGAGGTGGGTGTTTGAGGGGCACAGAGAAGAGCCTCCCAACAGAGGAGCCTCAAAGCAGTCCCTACACAGATAACAACTCAGAGAATACAGGTGAGCCTCTCCCCAAATTCACTGCTCTTTAAAATGAGCTAAGACTCCAAATTCCCAACGTGGGCATTCTGCGTTCAATCCCTGGTCAGGGAACTAGACCCTGCATGCTGCTACTGAACGCCTCACATGTCGAAACTAAAAAGCTCTTGAATATTGTAATGAAGATCAAAGATCCTGCAAGCTGCAACTAAGACCTGGTATAGCCAAATAAATGAATAAATATTTAAAAATAAAACGAGCTTATGAACAAATGGTGCTAAATACAGGGCAATCCAAGAATGAATAAGAAAATAGAAACAGTGAATAGAGATAACTCTTGGGGAAAGTCTTGATGCAAAGAAAAGCAGAGAAAGGGAGGCTTCAGCCAGAGTGGGATAGGGCTGAGCGGGGCTGGTTCATAGAGGTGGTGCTAGGACTACTGCTGAGGCAAGGAGCCGGTGGGGGAGGGGAGAGCAGGCAGCAGATACAGGAGAGGGGTGCTCACTGCAAGTCCTGCTTCTGAAATAAATGAAAGGGGGCTTGGCTTCTGATAGGATCAGGGCTCCCTCCTCCTGTCACAGGCAAGATGCGGGGCAAGATGAGCATCCAAGAGATGTGAGATCCAACATCTTTATTAACAACCTTCTCTGGCTGTGCCAGAAAAGGTAGATGTAAACCATGACGGTTTCACTCAAAGTCTGTCTGGCTGATGGACACCTGTACCTTCCTCCAGGAGCTGGAAGAGGGTGGAAGGCCTGAACCCGGCAGGAACAGCTCCCATCGTGGTCAACACATCAACGGTGTTTATCTGCTGAAGAGAGTAAAACAAAATTGACTTGCTTGCTTTCATTCAGGTTTTCTCACCTCTAGATTACTCTCTTTATCACTATAGCAACCACAACTCCCAAAACAAAAATACAAATGTCCAGACTTTAGTGGAAGAATACAGCAGTTTAACCCCCAATTATGAGATGATGCCATCGCTGATACCTGGCCTTTCCCAAGGATCTAAGCCCCATGCAGTGCTCCAGGAGCCGAGCTCTGCGCTTTAGACCGGCTGCTTCTGCGTGGTCCCTGTAAAAATGGCCTGTCCAGCCCCACAAGGGAGTGTGCCATGTCACAGATGAGCTGATACCATGAACTGATGTGCACTGAAGAATGAATGGCTTTGTGTGTGTGTGTATATATATATAACATACATACATGTGCACCCATGTCCATAAATAATAAATAAAGTAAAAATCCCAGAAGGGATATATTTACTAAACGGTTAGTGGTGATTACTTATGGAAGGAGTGGGGTTTCATTTCATTATATAAGTTTTTAAATGATAGGATTATGGGTAGTTTCTTACTTTTTTGAGCTTTTTGGAATTTTTAAATGTTACAAAACTAAAATTAACAATTGTCTTTACCCAAATGATAGAAAATTCAAGCAGAATCAAGGTGAGACATCTCCAAGCCCTCAAATCTACTCTTCTGAACAGAAAAGACTTAATGGGAAATGTTACTCAGAGTACAAACTTACTAAACCAGAGGTGTGTATTAATGTTCTGTGCATTCCAGGCCCTATACCCACTTAAGATCCAATGCTTTCATTTAAAGTTGTTTTGAATCTGAACTCTTAGCAGAACTATTAGATAACAAAATGAGGCGTTATTAATAAGATGAAGTGAAAAGTGCAAGTGTTAGTCGCTCGATCGTGTCCGACTCTTTGTGACCCCATGGACTATAGTCTGCCAGGCTCCTCTGTCCATGGGGTTCTCCAGGCAAGAGTACTGGAGTGGGTTGCCACGCCCTTCTCTAGAGGATCATCCCAACCCAGGGACAGAACATACGTCTCCTGCATTGCAGGCAGATAACCACTGATCCACCAGGGAAGCCCCATTAATAAGACAGGAGATACCAACCTCTGAGATGGCTTTCCGGACAGCACTCCAGTGAGAATCGGTTCTAGGGAGACAGAGAGCTCGGGAAAGTTTATGCCTGTTCACTCAGTCAGAGAACTTCATTAATCAAAGAACAAAGTATATCATTGTATCTTCTGACAATCTAAAACTGCTACATGAAACTAAGAATAATATCACATGCTAAAAGTAACCACAAAGTTAAAGCTGTAATGACCTTTAAGCAAACGGCAATGCGAAAAGCTCCCAAACTATAAGCTGTTTCCATTTCAAGAAATTCCTCCCTTACTTACGACAGTAAAGATGAGCAAATAAAGCTCTCATGAGCCTGCTTTTGCACCCCTCACACCATTTTACCTTTGCTCGACTTCTGCTCCCTCTGCTGCTTCATCCCCTAGCTCTGTATCTTCCTCACTGGATTCTTGGCCTTCTTCTTTGTTATAGGGCTGGAAAATAGTGTGAAATATGAAGTGCCTTTTACGTGATGGGAAAATCAGCCAATAAATGTACTTCCAGAAAGATCTGAGTGTAGGTAGGGGTTTAGTATATGACAGACATATCAAAAATCAGTGGATAAAAGCTCAAATAATGATGTCGTTATTTGAAAAAAAGTACAAGGATAAAGGTAGAGAACAACTTTAATTAACATAAGTGCCAGATGGAACTGATTCAAATGTAAAAAAGGAAGAAAAGATATAAATAAAAGAACTACAGAAGTGTTAGAAGAAAATAATCTTGAGATGGGGGAATCCTTTCCACTCATGATAGCAAAACCAAAAATCATAAATGGAACACTGACAGATTTAACTACCTAAAGGTAAATCTGGTTGAAAGTCAACAAAGATGATATCTGCTTCAAGTTTCCAAGGCTTAATATCCTTATTATAAGATAATACAAAAACTCTGCCATAGCAATACAATTTTCAAAAATCCCTTTGAAAAATGAATTAAAAAGGCAAATTTCAAAGAATAAATAGAAATAGAAATGAATAAAGCAAGTAAAATGACACTCAACCTCACTAGCAATACAATAAACGCAAGTAAAAAACAATAATGAGCCCATTTTATTTTTGGTCATCACTTTGGCAAAACGACTGATGACAGCCATCAGTGGCAGGTGTGCCGACAAACAAATATTCTCAGCTTTTAGGGATGGGAGTCCAAATAAGAGTAACTTCCCTAATTTGCAAAATGGCAAATTCTATCAATATACCGAGGTGTAAACCCTTTGCAGCAGCAATGAGCATCTAGGAATTTATTTAAGGGGAATAATGGGACAAGGTTATGTGCAAACTGATCACAACGCAGGTTCTTCTTTTCCAAGAGTCCCTGATTATAGCAATGAGTCAAGCTAAAAGGGGCTTCCCAGGTGGCTCAGTGGTAAAGAATCCTCCCGCCAATGCAGGAGAGATGTGGCTTTGATCCCTGGGTCGGAAAGATCCCCTGGAGAAGGAAATGGCAACCCACTCCAGTATCCTTGCCTGGAAGATCCCACAGACGGGGAGCTTGAAGGTTATAGTCCATGGAGTTGCAAAGATTCGGACATAACTGAGCATGCACGCAACCTAAGAAAACTACATTTTCCAAGCCGTCCTCACAGCTAGGTGTTGTCAAGAAACTAAATGCTGGTCCAGGAGATATAACTGGAAGCTTTTTGTGTAACTTCCGGGAAACCTTCTATAAAAGACTGCAGCTCTTGCCTTTTGACTTCTTCCTCACTTCTCCTTTCTCTCTGCTTGGAATTGTTAAAAGACATAGCCGCCAACCTAAAGAGATAACAGGCCTAGGGACAGCTGATGGCACCTAACCACAGAGTAAAACATTGCTTCTGTTGTTGTTTAATCACTGTCATGTCAGACTCTTTTGCAACGCTATGGACTGTAGCCCACCAGGCTCCTCTGTCCATGGGATTTCCAGGTAAGAAAATCCCGTGGACAGAGTGAGTGGCCATTTCCTTCTCCAGGGAATCTTCCCGACTCAGGGTTCGAACCTGTGTCTTCTGCACTGGCAGGTGGATTCTTTACCACTGAGCCACCAGGAAAGCCCCGAGTAAAATACGAGGCAGGGCCTTGCCATCCCTTGACTGCCCATCTCCACACGTCCTCCACATGCAAGAGAAACGTGCATCTACCTTAGTGAGGCCACAGTTTCGGAGGTCTTTAGCTCTAATGGAAGTTAACCCCAGCCTCCATGCAATGTCACTTCGAGCTGTAGACTGCTGCTGCTGCTCTGCTCAGCTGTGTCTCTTTGCGACCTCGTCAACTGTAGCCCATCAGGCTCCTCTGTCCAAGCAACTTTTAAAATATTTTATTTACTGGTTGATTCACTGATTGACTGGATTTTGGCTGTGCTGAATCTTTACTGTGAGCGGGGGCTAATCTCTACTTGCAGTGTGTGGGCTTCTCACCGTGGTGGGTTCTCTCATTGCAGAGCACGGGTACTCAATAGATTCGGTTTTCAGGTTCATAAGTGTGGGTTAAGTAGTTGTGGTATACTTTACATATAAGTTATATATAACTTAAATATAAGTTGAGGCATAGCTTAAACCTGCATGCCCTGCATTGGTAGGCAGACTCTTAACCACTGGACCACCAGGGAAGCCCCCAAAGTGGGGCAGTCTTGCGGGACTGCACCCTTATCTCGTGGGGTCTGTGCTAAGTCCAGGAGTTGGTGCCAGAAGTGAACTGCATTGTTGGATACCTGGTTGGCTTCAAAAAAACAGTGTGAAAAACAACATGTATCTGGTGTCAAAAAAAATCCCACACAGCTAGTGTCAGAAGTGGTATGAGGAAAAACAAGACATCTCAATGTGATTACTAGAAAATTAAATTACATTTGTGGTTTGCATTATAGTTCTACTGAACAGCACTGATCTATATATATGGGACAGCAAATGACCATGCCATACTATGAAATATGAAAGAACTAGGCAATCAACATGTATATACACTATGTTCACATGTTAGAAAGGATCATGTATTTGTGGAAGGTAAGAAAAGTTAACTGCAGTTTTCTTTCACAACAAAAAATAAATGTCTATTCATTTTTATGATCAACACGAACCCACAGAGCATCTTCATTGTGCAACGACACGCTGGAGCTCACCTGCATAAAAGCGGGTCACTAGGATGACTGGTCAGTCACTCAGCATGAGGGAGCTCACCTGCACAAGAGCAGGTCACTATGATGACTGGTCAGTACTCAGTATGCTGGAGCTCACCTGCACAAGAGCAGGTCACTATGATGACTGGTCAGTCACTCAGTATCCTGGAGCTCACCTGCACAAGAGCAGGTCACTATGATGACTGGTCAGTCACTCAGTATCCTGGAGCTCACCTGCACAAGAGCAGGTCACTATGATGACTGCTCAGTACTCAGTATGCTGGAGCTCACCTGCACAAGAGCAGGTCACTATGATGACTGGTCAGTCACTCAGTATCCTGGAGCTCACCTGCACAAGAGCAGGTCACTATGATGACTGGTCAGTACTCAGTATGCGGGAGCTCACCTGCACAAGAGCAGGTCACTATGATGACTGCTCAGTCACTCAGTATCCTGGAGCTCACCTGCACAAGAGCAGGTCACTATGATGACTGGTCAGTCACTCAGCATGCAGGAGCTCACCTGCACAAGAGCAGGTCACTATGATGACTGGTTGGTCACTCAGCATGCGGGAGCTCACCTGCATAAAAGCGAGTCACTATGATGACTGCTCAGTACTCAGTATGCTGGAGCTCACCTACAAGAGCAGGTCACTATGATGACTGGTCAGTCAGTCAGCATGCAAGAGCTCACCTGCACAAGAGCAGGTCACTATGATTACTGTTCAGTCACGCAGTCCTGTCCCATGCTGTGTGACCCCACGGACTGCAGGCTCCTCTGTCCATGCTACAGCTCACCGACATAAGAGCAGACCACTATAACTACTGTTTAGTCACCAAGTTGTATCCGACTCTTTGTGACCCTGTGGACTATAGCCTGCCAGGCTCCTCTGTCCATGGGATTTCCCAGGAAAGAACAATGGAGTGGGTTGCCATTTCCTTCTTCAGGGAATATTCCCAACCCAAGGATCAAACCCATGTCTTCTGCATTGGCAGGCAGATTCTTTTACCGCTAAGCCACCGGGAAAGCCCCAAATTTTTCCCATGCTCTGATCCTCTAAAATTGAAGCAAATTCTATATCTCAAGTCATTCACTAGCCAACTGATCAAAGAATACAACTTAGTGTTTTATTATAAATGAAAAAAAAAGTCTTAAAGGAGAAAAAGGAAAGAATAAACCAAAAAGACTAACCTCCAGGTAGGTTTTCGGAATAAGGCCTTCGTTTCCTTTGGCGTTCTTAGCCATCCACCAACCATCAGAGTTTTTTTTGATTATGCAAAGAATTTCCCCTTTCTTAAGGCAAAATAAAAGTAAAACATTTTAATTAGAATTTACCCCTAAGCTCAGAATTATCAACATTAAAACTATTGTATTTTCAAAACCAGAGGAGCATCTACTCTTTTTTTTCCTTACCATTTACTACCAGGTAACTGATAAAAGAATTTTACAACTACTGCTTGTAAATCATAATTATCCCTTATTTTATTTAAACAGACGGAGTCTTTAAAAAGTTAATATCAGGAATCTCTAATCCAGATATATAGGTAGGGTTTTCTTACTCTGTTAGGTATGCGAATTTATCCTTAGGTTTGCTTCCAGTTTGTTTCTACTCACTTTAAATGTAAGGTCTCCCACTTGCTGAGCCATAAAATCTCCAAGAGCAATGTACTCTCCACCTGTGGCCTCTGGGTGAGACTCGCCTTCCTGTTTCTCTTCCTCTTCCTCTTCTGTTTCTTCATCCTCGCCCCCACTTTCTGCACTTTCTTCTTCGTCTTCTTCTTCATCTTCTTCAGCAGAATTCTCCTCTTCCTCTCTTTCAGTAAGTGCCCCAGTTCTGGAAAAAGTAATTGATGAGGATCACACGAAATAACGCAGAAGAACAGATCAAGTATAACTTCTATATACAGAAGAACTGGCCCATATTTATAAGAGGCAAATTAAAAAGAAACATAAAGGGAAAGTACAACTAACAGTTTTTACCATCTAGCAAAGAATACATGACCTGAGAGTAACAGAGGAGTTAAAGTATCTGAGGAGTGTGTTGATGTGGTGGAGCAAGTGCTGGTCTGGAGGCCAGGAGACTTGAATTTAAGTCCTGGATTCATCCATTCAGCAAATGCTGCTTGAGCGTTATTGCACAGTGGTTATAGCATGGATTCTGAGATGAAATTCTGGTTCTATCTCCTCTTCGTTGATTGGTCTTGGGTAGATTTCTTTTAGACTCTCCATTTCTCATTGGTAAAGTAGAGATAATAACAGAACCTGCCTCATAAGGTCCTCGTGGAGATTAGAGGAGTTACAAACTTGCACAGTGTCTGACCACAGCGTTCTCAATAAAAGTTGGCAGTGACGACGATCATGATGTTACCTGTCAGTTTCCATGTCAGACACAGTAGAAACAAAGGTAAAGCAGACAATTCCCTGTTCTCCGGGAGAACAATGAGGCGATCTAGCAGACGGATACTTACAGTATAGTTCAACAGATGCCGCAGTAGAGGTAAACACAGCATACCAGGGAAACACACAAGATGGGCACCTAACCTAGACTGCACGGTGGGCATCAGGAAAGGCTTAGAATCAGGACTTGATGGATGAGTTGGAATTAATCAGATAAAGGGGGGTGGTAAAAAGGTAGGGAAAGGAGTGGAGGAAGAAGGCTGGAAAAGAAGGAACCTCAAGTAGCTCAGGAATGGTAGGAAGAGGTCTGGGACGAATGAGCAAGAGATGAGGTGGAAAACAGAGGAGCAAAACACAGCGTGTGTGAGCTTTATTTTTAAGGCGTTCCCTAGAAATGAAGTCAGGGAAGGGCGTGATCTGACCTGCTCTGAGAAAGATGATCAGGCTCCATGGAGACTGGAAGAAAGGCTAAACACAAAGATGGTTATTAAAAGTGAGGCATGAAATAGTATAAACTAAGGAAGCCTGAAACTCAGCTTCTCTGTATACTGGTGCCGAATGGAATCCTGGAGTTTTGGGTGAAGCAGAAAAGGATAGGGCTTCCCAGGTGGCGTTAGTGGTAAAGAACCCACTTGCCAGTGCAGTAGACATAAGAGACTTAGGTTCAATCCCTGGGTCGGGAAGATCCCTTGGAGGAGGGTATGGCAACCACTCCAGTATTCTTGCCTAGAGTTACAGGCAAGGCCCCTTACAGTTCATGGGGTCTCAAAGAGTCTGGACAAGACAGACACAATGGACAGGACAGAATGGCTAACAATACTTTGATGCAAATAAGGGAACCCTCTTACACTGTTGGTGGGAATGCAAACTAGTACAGCCACTATGGAGAACAGTGTGGAGATTCCTTAAAAAACTGGAAATAGAACTGCCATATGACCCAGCAATTCCCACTCCTGGGCATACACACCGAGGAAACTAGATCTGAAAGAGACAGGTGTACCCCAATGTTCATCACAGCACTGTTTATAATTGCCAGGACATGGAAGCAACCTAGATGCCCATCAGCAGACGAATGGATGAGGAAGCTGTGGTACACATACACAATGGAATATTACTCAGCCATTAAAAAGAATTCATTTGAATCAGTTCTAATGAGATGGTTGAAACTGGAGCCCATTATACAGAGTGAAGTAAGCCAGAAAGATAAAGACCAATACAGTATACTAACGCATATATATGGAATTTTAAAAGATGGTAACAATAACCCTATATGCAAAACAGAAAAAGAGACACAGATATACAGAACAGACTTTTGGACTCTGTGGGAGAAGGCGAGGGTGGGATGTTCTGAGAGAATAGCATTGAAACAAGTATACTATCAAGGGTGAAACAGACCACCAGCCCAGGTTGGACGCATGAGACAAGTGCTCGGGCCTGGTGCACTGGGACGACCCAGAGGGATGGGATGGAGAGGGAGGTGGGAGGGGGGATCGGGATGGGGAACACATGTAAATCCATGGCTGATTCATGTCAATGTATGGCAAAAACCACTACAATAATGTAAAGTAATTAGCCTCCAACTTATAAAAATAAATGAAAAAAAAAACAACAATACTTTGATGCAAATAGACATTGCTAACCATAAAACTAGCCAAATGACTCTTCTTTATTATGCTAATACAGTAAATTTCAATGGCTGATTTTTTCAATGTTAATCTAATCTTGCAGGGACTTCCTTGGTGGTCCACTGGGGTGTTCCCAATGCAGGGTGCCAAGGTTTGATCCCAGTTGGGGGAACTATTAATAGATACCACATGCTGCAGCTGAGAGCACACCACAAGGAAGCTCAAAGCTCCCTGAGTGCTGTAACTAAGGCCCGGCACAGCCAAAGAAGTAACAATAAATATTAAATTAACCTAAATCCCACTTAGTCATGATGGACTGTCATTTTTATGTGCCCTGGATTTTATTTGCTAGCATCTTCTATTGTGTTTGTGCACTTGTTCATTATGTCCTTCTGTTTATAGTATTTTTATCATGTCTTGATACTGGGCTCCCCTGGTGGCTCAGAAAAGAGTCTGCCTGTGATGCGGGGGACCCAGATTCGATCCCCGGGTCAGGAAGGTCTCCTGGAGGAGGGAGTGGCTACCCACTCCAGTGTTCTTGCCTGGGAAATCCCATGGACAGAGAAGCCTGACGGGCTACTGTCCAAGGGGTCACAAAAGAGCTGGACACAACTGAGCGACTAACACTTTCACTTTTCATAATGCTCATAAAATGATTTGGAAATGTTTCTTTTTCTGTTTTCTGGAAAGATTTCAAAATACTGGTACTGTCTTACTCAATTGTTGCAGAAATTTGTGTCAGTGAAACAACCTGAAGATTTATTCTGTGGAAAGGGTTTTAATTATACATTCAATTTCTTTAGTAGATCTTTTGGTAGGATTATTAAGATTTTCGATTCATCTTGTCAATTTGAGTACATTTTATTTTTCAAGGAACTTATTTCATCTGTATTTTCAAATTTAATTGCGTAAAGTTTTTCATAGCATCTTCACAGTATCTTAAATTTCTGTAGGCTCTGAGTGGTTAGTTTTCATCCTTGTTTTTTGCTAGTGTTTTCCCTCTTTCTCTTTTCTTGACCAGTCTTGCTAGGAATTTACTCATTTAATTACTTTTTCTAAAGAATTAACTTTTGGTTTATTGATTTTATCTACTATATGTCAGTTTATTATTCCGTTTTCTCTCTTATTTTTATTACTTCTTTATTTCTATTTGCCTTGGGTTTAAATTGCTGTTCTTTTTCTGGCTTCTTCAGTTGGAAACTTTAGTAGATGATTTTCAACTTTTCTTTTCTAAATGTTGCACTTAAAGCCATAAATTTCCCTCTAAACACTGCTTTAGCTGCAGCCCACGACTGCATTTTTATTATCATTCAAAATATTTAGTTTTCCACTGTAATATTTTCTTTGATCTTTAGGTTATATAGAAGTGTGTGATTCTTTTTTAATTATTTATTTATTTGGCTGCATTGCGTCTTACGTTTAGGCACATGGAATACTTGGTCATGCTATACGGGACCTTCTGTTGAGGCACATGGCTCTGGAGCATGTGGGCTCAGTAGCTACACAGGAAATCTTAGTCCCCCGGCCAGGAATGACGCCCACATCCCCTGTGTTTCACGGCAGATTCTTAACCACTGAGCTACCAGGGAAGTCCCAGAAGTATGTGATTTCATTTGCAAACATTTGGAGATTTTTATTTATTTCTCTGTCACTTGAGTTTTTTTTTTAAACTGAGATAGAATTGACATTCACCATTGTATTAGTTTTGGATTGTCATTGAGTTTTAATGTAATTCCAAGTCGTCAAAATTGCTGCATGATTTCAATCCTCTGACATTTGTTGACAATTGGTCCTTTATGATTCATTTTGGTTAATGTTATATATGCACTTGGAAGTGCATATATATCTCTTCCATCTCACTTGGAAGAGATGCATATTACCTAGTGGGATACAGTGTTCTACAAATACATTTTTAATTAGGTGGTTAAGATTTGTGGATTATATTGTCAGCTTCCCTGTAGTACTGGCAATTTTTGCTTTATATGTTGTAAAGTGCCTATTAGGTGCCTACACATTAAGGATAATTTCTTATTGAATTGGTCCTTTTATTACTATAAAATGTCTTAATCTACTAAATTAGTTTTGACCTTAAAGTCTATTTCCCCTGATATTACTGTAACTGCATCACCTTTGTTTTGGCTAGGGCAAATATGGAATATCTTTTTCCAATCTTTTACTTGCAACCCATTTATGCTATCTTAAATGGCCCCCAAATACAGTGCTGAAATGCTATGTAGTGGTCCCAACCAGAAGAAAGCTGTGATGTGCCTAATGGAGAAAATTAGACTTCTTCAGGCATAAATCACAGGGCTGTTGGTGGAGTTCAATATTAATAAATCAGTAACATACATTAAATAAGGTATCTTTACACAGAAACACACAAAAATCAAGGATGTATACTACTCAGTTGACAAAAAACATTTTGTTCACTGCTTCAGTAGGAACCTAGCTTCTCCTAGAAGCTACAGTGTAGTATTCACTATTCAGGGTCTGCAACAATTTTGTGGGGTATAAGTATTGCAAATAATGAAAACTGACTGTGTATTATAAATTCTCAAATGTATATTTTGCTTTACACAATCAAGTGTTTTTTTAAAAAGACATTTAGAGAAGAAAAATAGTCTTTTCTGTTTACCCACATACCAGGGCTTTTCATTCCTTTTTGCAGATCCAAGTTTTCATGTGGGATTATTTCCTTCTAGTCTGAAGGACTTCCTATAGCAACTTCCTCAGTTATTGTCTGACAGATTTCCTCAGCTGTTGTTTCTCTGAAAATGTCTTCTGCTGCTGCTAAATTACTTCAGTCGTGTCCGACTAGGTGCGACCCCATAGACAGCAGCCCACCAGGCTCCTCCGTCCCTGGGAAAATGTCTTCATTCCACTTTAATTTCTAAAAGATACTTTTGCTCTATACAGAATTCTGGGTTGACAGATTTTTTTTCCTTTCAATTCTTTTATGATGTCCCCACATTATCCTCTGACCTGTATTTTTTTCTAACAAGATATCAACTTTAATTTGAATTGTCTGCCTGTACATGTTTATTTCCCTGGCTGCTTTTGTGATTTTTCCGGTATGTTTAGTTTTCAGCAGTTTAACTGACGCACCTATGTGTAGTTACTGTATATTTATTCTTTGGGGTTGTCTGAAGTTCTTGGATCACTGAATCAATAACTTTTTAAAACCTCAATTACAATTTCACTTAAATATTCCCTGTGCTCCATTTTCTCTCTCCTTGGCTTCTGGGACTTGAGTTACACACGGGTTGTAACTTCTGACCATGCCCTAAACCATGCTTCTGTTCTATTCTTTGCATTCTTTTTTTCTTTCTGAGTGTGAGTTTGGAAGGTTTTCACTGCTCAGAGTTTGGGTCCGCTAATCTTTTCCTCTACTATATCCAGTTATCCATCAAACCACCAATTTTTTAAAACATTTTATATACTGTGTTTTTTAGCTTCAGAGTTTTCATTTTGGTCTGTGTTAGTTTTCATTTCTCTGCTTAAGATCCTCTCTAATCAACCAATCTGCCTATCTCTCCAACAAATTCCTTAACACATTGAAAATAGATCTTTGATAGTTCTGGTGTGCTAATTTTCGTATCTGGGTCACCTAGGCTTCCACTGATTATTTTTTCTCTTTATTATAAGACATTTTCCACCTTTTTGAAGCTATATATTGAATCAGATTTAGAAAGTTCTCAGCCATTATTCTATCAGGTATTATATTTTGCAGCTGTAGAATGTTCATTTGCTTGTTTTCTACATTTGAATTCTCTTAAAATATTCTTTTTTTCCCCATTTTATCCATCTTTTCTTCTATTTTCTTTAACATATTAATCATATTGTTTAGAAATCCCAGTCAGATTACTCTACCATCTAGTTCAGATCTGGGTCTGTTTTTATTTACTGTTACCACTTAATTATCTATTATTTATTTTCCCCTACTTTTTTTGCATTTCTAGTCATTATTTTTAATAATTATTGCACATTGTGGACAATATATTTAGAGACTCTGGATTATGTTGTCATCCTCTAATGAGTAGTGAATTTTGTCCTGTTATCTTTTTATGTTAAGGTCTGGTTTTAAGTTTTGTTGGAAAAGATTTTCTTCAGTTTTGTCTGTATCCAAGATCACAGTTTTGAATATTAGAGTGTATTCCTTACTCCCAGACATGGGTCTTACATGCTCTCTAGCCAGATGCATGAAGCATTCACCATGGTCTCTCTACTCTAGCTGGGTATAAACCCCAACATTTTTCCAGGATTCTGTGACCTCCAGAACCTTTTAAGTTCTCAGTCTCCCAGCAGGTGCTTTCTGCCTGGCCTTCTGTAATCAAGCTCTGTGTGGCCCAGGAGTCCCCTCAGATTTCTGGAGTTGTCTCTCTGCAAGTCTTTTCCCTCTCCCCACAAGTCCCAGTAGCCTCAGCAACTCCAGAAATTTTAAGACCTTTTCTTTCTTTATGTGGATCATTTTTAAAGTCTTTATTGAAACTGTTACAATATTGTTTATGTTTTATGTTTTGGGCTTTTGGCCCCAAGACATGTGGGATCTCAGCTCCCTGCACTGGAAGGTAAAGTCTTAACCACTGGGCCACTAGGTCCCAGCAACTCCAGAATTTGATCTCTGGAGCCCAGAGAGACTGCTGCTGATCTACCTTCCTGCATCACACACAGCCCATAAACCATCGCCACGGAGATGGTCTGGGTGAATGCAGGAGTCACCTCTTGTGTCTCTCTGTATTAAGGACATCAGCCCTGCTCAGTTGATGTTCAGTGAGTTCAGACAGCCATTTTGTATATTTTGTCCAGATTCTACAGCGTTTTTTTGGTAGGAAGGTTAAGTCCAATACCAGCCACTTTGTCATTCTCAGTACTGGAGATCAATGGAAATTCTAGAAACCTTCTAATAATACATTCTTTAGTGTTTTTTCCCCGAGAATACAGTGTAAAAGTATGGGAACAGCATTTCAGGAGTTTAAATAGTTGACTTTTCCCTTTTTATCTCCCTATGAACTGGGTTTGTTTACACCATCAAGTTTTCTTTCCACTTTACAAAGCCTATTACTAACATCCACTCCATCAGGAAAAGAATGCATGTTTCTGCTTCCATTTTTAAAAGAATATTTATAAAAGGAGGAAATAAGCAAATAGATAATTCAGATAATTTTGTTTTTACACATCAACCGGGACATTAAAGGCATGACCCTTATTTTCTAACATCTGTTTATTGAGCTTTTCACATCTCTGTTTTGCTCCCCCAACCAGCTCATGAATTAACCTGAGAGATTATGGCTTCTACTTCTTTACATCTCTCCAGGAAGCTCACACTTTCTCCTATATACAATAAGTAACTGTTGATAGATAATACTGTTACAGTTTTCATCTATATATGACTTTATTCTGAATAAAACATTTAAACTGTTGGTGATATAATATTTGAAAGGAAGAAAGGAAGGGTGCTTACTCAGTGCCATTTTCTCTGCTTATGGACACAGCAAGCTCCTGCAGTTGGTGAGTAAGCTTATCCAAAAGATTGTGCTCCTCTTCTTTCTTCTGATAATAATTTCCCACAGGTGCAGGTTCATCAGCCTATGAGAGAATATAAGTCTACTTCACTAAAAAAAAAATAATTTTTTATTACACTTATTGTAATAGAAAAAAAACTCCAGTAGGTGATACAAGACAAAGCAAATATCAATATGAGACTACACCTATCTTAGATAAATAAGTTTAAAAGAAATGTAGATTACGCTGGAATGCGAATCAAGTGGCATAATAAAGTCATACCTCTAATTTGTTTCGTTTTGTTTTGTTGCCAGGCATTGCAGACCCTCTATGGTCAGTAAGGGACAGGTTCCAGACAGAGGACTGGCTTTGGGGTTAAAGACAGGTGCCAAGTCCAAGTTCTGTCACTTGCTGGCAGTGAGACACTGGGAAAACTGCTTCACTTTTGCAAGCCCTAGTAGTTAGGTTTTCCAATTTAGGGTCAGTCAGTCTCCTGAATCACAGGTTTTCATCACTGGAGAAATTCGGAAGAGATACTTAGAAAGCACTTGTCTCAAATGCAGCAAGGCAGATTCACACACAGGCAGGGAGATGACTTTTACGCGCCTTCTACCCTGAGTGCTCTCCGAGTCTCTGGCCCTGAACACTTTGCTGAAGTTCAGGCTCATATTAAAAGAGGAAATCCTGATGGGATTGCCAAGAGAAAATTCTAGTTGCCCCCATTTCTGCAGAGTCACCGATCTCAGAACTGCTATGTGACTCAGGAAGCTTCTCTAGCTCTACCCTTTGGGCCAGATTATCTACTTCCCCACGGTGCGATTAAAATGAAAACAATTCTAAACTGTAAAACATAAAACGTACACAATGCAATAATAAAAATAGCTTCTTCCAAGTTCTTCTGAGTCCTCAGTGCTAGGTGAGTTCATCACAGCTGAACTTTTATCAGTATTTGGGGCCCTGGTTCACACTTCAACACTTACATGAACCCAGGAACCTACCCACTCTAGGGGGTAGGAACTCCCACTTAATAAAATATTCAGGTAAAAACAGATTTTTTTTTTTTTCAAAAAAATAATGTGATCAACTGTAATACTTACTTTTTTTAATTTTTGAAGAGCATTTTTATTTTCATCTATTGCCTGTTTTAATTGGATACATCTAAATTTTCAAAAAGAAAGAAAAATATTGATTTTTTAATTGTCATAACCAAAAAAGCTATTTTATAAAATCATATGTTCAGTCTTTAGGCAGGCAAGGCTATTTCTATTGTATGAATGATGTTTAAAAATTCATATGTAAGTGCCTTTCCACTCATTAGCTTGGGTGATCCTCATTGCAAGATCTAAGGTATGAGGTATGATAAACAAAACTCAGAAGACTTAAGTGACTCCAGGCCTCAGTTTCCTAATTCTAAAATAAGGAAAGCACTGGACTTTTAAACACTTCCATAGCTCTAAAATTCTATAAACCCAGGATTCAGCCCAGAAGACAATTAGATACGCCACATCAAAGAAAGAAGAGACAAAAGCCATGTGATCATCTCAACAAATGCAGAAAAAGCATTTGATAAAATTCAACATCTACTCATTATAAAAACTCTTACCAAAGTGGGTATAGAGGGAACATATCTCAACATAATAAAAGCTACTTATGACAAACCCATAGCCAATATAATACTCAATGCTGAAAAGCTGAAAGCCATCCTGCTAAAATCTGGAACAAGACAAGGATGCCCACTCTCACCACTCCAACATAGTACTGGAAGTCCCAGTCATAGCAATCAGGTAATAATAAGAAATAAAAGGTATCCAACTTGGAAGAGAAAAGTATGCAAAGTACATGATACTATATATAGAAAACCCTAAAGACTCCACACAAAAACTACTGTAACTGATAAATTCAGCAAGGTAGCAGGATACAAGATTCATATGCAGAAATTGATTGCATTTCTTTATCCTAAAAATGAAATATCAGAACAAGAAAGTAAAAATAGTAATTCCTTTTAAAATTGCATCACAAAATAAAATACTCTATGTGGAATCTAAAATACAATACAAATCAACATATCTATGATACAGAAACAGACTCACAGATATAGAAAACAGACTTGGGGTTGACAAGGGCTGAGGGGAGGGAAGGACTGGGGGTTTGGGACTAGCAGAGGCAAGCTATTGTATATAGGACGGATAAACAATAAGGTCCTACTGTATAGCACAGAGAACTACAGTCAATATCCTATGACAAACCATAACAGAAAAGAATCTGAAAACGAATATATATGTGTGTGTGTGTAACTGAGTCACTTTGTTGTATAGAAGAAATTAACACAACAGTGTAATTAACACAACAAATTAACACAACAATCAACTATACTTCAATAAAATTAAAAAAACAAAATACTTAGGAATAAATGACCAAGGAGGTGAAAGACATATGCTGAGAACTATAAAACAAGGATAAAGAAAAGCAAAGATAATTCAAAGAAATGGGAAGATGATTCATGTTCTCAGACTGTGTCCACGCTTGGCTGCTCAGTTATGTCCAACTCTTTGCAACCCCATGGACTGTAGCCCACCAGGACCCATGAGATTTTCCCAGCAAAAACATTGGAGTGGGTTGCCATTTCTTCCTCCAGGGGATCTCCCTGACCCAAGGATGGAATCTGCGTCTCCTGTGACTCCTACGTTGGCAGGTGGATTCTTTACCACTGAGCCACCTGGAAATTCCAGGTTCTTGGATTGGAAGGATTATTATCATTAAAATGGCCATATTATCCAAAGCAATCTAGAGATTTCATGCAATCCATATCAAATTACCCATGGTATTTTTCACAGAACTAGAACTAATAATTTTAAAATTTATACAGAACCAGGATTGCCAAAGCAACCCTGAGGAAAAAGAACAAAGCTAGAGGCATAGCCCTCCCAGATTTCAGACAATAGTATAAAACTACAATAATCAAAACAGAATGGTACTGGCACAAAAACAGACATAGATCAATGCAACAGAATAGAGAACCTAGAAATAAACCCACACACCTAAAGTCAATTAATCTTTGACAAAGGAGGCAAAAATAAACAACGAAGAAAAGATAGTCTCTTCAGTAAGTGGTGTTGGGAAAGCTGGACAGCACATGTAAATCAATGAAGTTGGAACACACCCTCACACCAAACACAAAAATAAACTCAAAATGTCTTAAAGACTTCAATATGACATGACACCATAAAACTTCTAGAAAAGAATACAGGCAAAACATTCTCTGACATAAACCATACCAATGTTTTCTTAGGTCAGTCTAATAACACCAAGGCAATAGAAAATAAAAGCAAAAATAAACAAATGGAACCTAATCAAACGTATAAGCTTCTGCACAGCAAAGGAAACCATAAACAAAATGAAAAGATAACATATGAACTGGGAGAAAATATTTGCAAACAATGCGACCAAAACGGCTTAATTTCCAAAATATACACACAGCTCATACAACTCAATAACAACAACAACAGCAATAAAACAACAACCACTCAGTCAAAAAACGGGCAAAAGACCTAAGAAGACATTCCTGCAAAAATGACATACAGATCGTCAACAGGCACAGGAAAAGATGCTAGACATGGCTAATTACTAGAGAAATGCAAACCAAAAATACAACGAGGTATCGCCTCACACTGGCCAGAATGGACATCATTAAAAAGTCTGTAAGAAGACAGATGCTGGAGAGGATGTGGAGAAAAAGGGGAGCCTCCTCCACTGTGGGTAGGAATATAAACTGGTGAAGCCACAGAGGAAAACAGTATGGAGGTTCCTCAAAAAAACTAAAATTAGAGCTGACCTATTGATCCAGCGATCCTACTCCTGGGTATGTATCTGAAGAGAGCTCGAACTTGGAAAGATACACCTTATGCTCACAGCGGCACTATCTGCAACAGCCAAGACATGGACATAACCTCAAAATCCATTAAAAGGTGAATGGGTAGGACAACCTCAGGGACCTCTGGGACAATGTGAAACGCCCCAACATTCGAATCATAGGAGTCCCAGAAGAAGAAGACAAAAAGAAAGGCCATGAGAAGATACTCGAGGAGATAATAGCTGAAAACTTCCCTAAAATGGGGAAGGAAATAGCCACCCAAGTCCAAGAAACCCAGAGAGTCCCAAACAGGATAAACCCAAGGCGAAACACCCCAAGACACATATTAATCAAATTAACAAAGATCAAACACAAAGAACAAATATTAAAAGCAGCAAGGGAGAAACAACAAATAACACACAAAGGGATTCCCATAAGGATAACAGCTGATCTATCAATAGAAACCCTTCAGGCCAGAAGGGAACGGCAGGACAAACTTAGAGTAATGAAAGAGAATAACCTACAACCTAGATTACTCTACCCAGCAAGGATCTCATTCAGATATGAAGGAGAACTCAAAAGCTTTACAGACAAGCAAAAGCTGAGAGAATTCAGCACCACCAAACCAGCTCTTCAACAAATATTAAAGGATCTTCTCTAGACAGGAAACACAGAAAGGTGGTATAAACGTGAACCCCAAACAACAAAATAAATGGCAACGGGACCATACCTATCAATAATTACCTTAAATGTAAATGGGTTGAATGCCCCAACCAAAAGACAAAGGCTGGCTGAATGGATAAAAAAGCAAGACCCCTATATATGCTGTCTACAAGAGACCCACCTCAAAGCAAGGGACACATACAGACTAAAAGTGAAGGGCTGGAAAAAAATATTCCACGCAAACGGAGACCAAAAGAAAGCAGGAGCTGCAATACTCATATCAGATAAAATAGACTTTCAAATAAAGACTGTGAAGAGAGACAAAGATGGACACTACATAATGATCAAAGGATCAATCCAAGAAGAAGATATAACAATTATAAATATATATGCACCCAACATAGGAGCACCGCAATATGTAAGGCAAACGCTAACGAGTATGAAAGAGGAAATTAATAGTAACACAATAATAGTAGGAGACTTTAATACCCCACTCACAACTATGGATAGATCAACTAAACAGAAAATTAACAAGGAAGCACAAACTTTAAAGGACACAATGGACCAGCTAGACCTAATTGACATCTATAGGACGTTTCACCCCAAAACAATCAACTTCACCTTTTTCTCAAGTGCACACGGAACCTTCTCCAGAATAGATCACATCCTGGGCCATAAATCTAGTCTTGGTAAATTCAAAAAGATTGAAATCATTCCAGTCATCTTTTCTGACCACAGTGCAGTAAGATTAGATCTTAATTACAGGAATAAAATTATTAAAAATTCAAACATATGGAGGCTAAACAACACGCTTCTGAATAACCAACAAATCATAGAAGAAATCAAAAAAGAAATAAAAATATGCATAGAAATGAATGAAAATGAAAAAACAACAACCCAAAACCTATGGGACACTGTAAAGGCAGTGCTAAGGGGAAGATTCATAGCATTACAGGCCTACCTCAAGAAACAAGAAAAAAGTCAAATAAATAACCTAACTCTACACCTAAACCAACTAGAGGAGGAAGAAATGAAGAACCCCAGGGTTAGTAGAAGGAAAGAAATCTTAAAAATTAGGGCAGAAATAAATGCAAAAGAAACTAAAGAGATCATAGCAAAAATTAACAAAGCTAAAAGCTGGTTTTTTGAAAAAATAAACAAAATTGACAAACCATTAGCAAGACTCATTAAGAAACAAAGGGAGAAGAACCAAATTAACAAAATTAGAAACGAAAATGGAGAGATCACAACAGACAACACCGAAATACAAAGGATCATAAGAGACTACTACCAGCAGCTCTATGCCAATAAAATGGACAACTTGGAAGAAATGGACAAGTTCTTAGAGAAGTATAACTTTCCAAAACTGAACCAGGAAGAAATAGAAGATCTTAACAAACCCATCACAAGCAAGGAAATCGAAACTGTAATCAGAAATCTTCCAGCAAACAAAAGCCCAGGACCAGATGGCTTCACAGCTGAATTCTACCAAAAATTTAGAGAAGAGCTAACACCTATCTTACTCAAACTCTTCCAGAAAATTGCAGAAGAAGGTAAACTTCCAAACTCATTCTATGAGGCCACCATCACCCTAATTCCAAAACCAGACAAAGATGCCACAAAAAAAGAAAACTACAGGCCAATATCACTGATGAACATAGATGCAAAAATCCTTAACAAAATTCTAGCAAACAGAATCCAACAACATATTAAAAAAATCATACATCATGACCAAGTGGGCTTTATCCCAGGAATGCAAGGATTCTTTAATATCCGCAAATCAATCAATGTAATACACCACATTAACAAATTGAAAGATAAAAACCATATGATTATCTCAATAGATGCAGAAAAAGCCTTTGACAAAATTCAACATCCATTTATGATTAAAACTCTCCAGAAAGCAGGAATAGAAGGAACATACCTCAAAATAATAAAAGCTATAGATGACAAACCCACAGCAAGCATCACCCTCAATGGTGAAAAATTGAAAGCATTTCCCCTGAAATCAGGAACAAGACAAGGGTGCCCACTCTCACCACTACTATTCAACATAGTTTTGGAAGTTTTGGCCACAGCAATCAGAGCAGAAAAAGAAGTAAAAGGAATCCAGATAGGAAAAGAAGAAGTGAAACTCTTGCTGTTTGCAGATGACATGATCCTCTACATAGAAAATCCTAAAGACTCTACCAGAAAATTACTAGAGCTAATCAACGAATACAGTAAAGTTGCAGGATGTAAAATTAACACACAGAAATCTCTTGCATTCCTATACACTAACAATGAGAAAACAGAAAGAGAAATTAAGGAAACAATACCATTCACCATTGCAACAAAAAGAATAAAATACTTAGGAGTATATCTACCTAAAGAAACAAAAGACCTATACATAGAAAACTATAAAACACTGATGAAAGAAATCAAAGAGGACACAAACAGATGGAGAAATATACCGTGTTCATGGATTGGAAGAATCAATATTGTCAAAATGGCTATACTACCCAAAGCAATCTACAGATTCAATGCAATCCCTATCAAACTACCAACGGTATTTTTCACAGAACTAGAACAAATAATTTCACAATTTGTATGGAAATACAAAAAACCTCGAATAGCCAAAGTAATCCTGAGAAAGAAGAATGGAACTGGAGGAATCAATCTGCCTGACTTCAGACTATACTACAAAGCCACAGTCATCAAGACAGTATGGTACTGGCACAAAGACAGAAATATAGATCAATGGAACAGAATAGAAAGCCCAGAGAGAAATCCACGAACGTATGGTCACCTTATCTTCGACAAAGGAGGCAAGGATATACAATGGAAAAAAGACAACCTCTTTAACAAGTGGTGCTGGGAAAACTGGTCAACCACCTGTAAAAGAATGAAACTAGAACACTTTCTAACACCATACACAAAAATAAACTCAAAATGGATTAAAGATCTAAATGTAAGACCAGAAACTATAAAACTCCTAGAGGAGAACATAGGCAAAACACTCTCTGACATAAATCACAGCAGGATCCTCTATGACCCACATCCCAGAATTTTAGAAATAAAAGCAAAAATAAACAAATGGGACCTAATGAAACTTAAAAGCTTTTGCACAACAAAGGAAACTATAAGCAAGGTGAAAAGACAGCCCTCAGATTGGGAGAAAATAATAGCAAACGAAGCAACAGACAAAGGATTAATCTCAAAAATATACAAGCAACTCCTCCAGCTCAACTCCAGAAAAATAAATGACCCAATCAAAAAATGGGCCAAAGAACTGAACAGACATTTCTCCAAGGAAGACATACAGATGGCTAACAAACACATGAAAAGATGCTCAACATCACTCATTATCAGAGAAATGCAAATCAAAACCACAATGAGGTACCATTACACGCCAGTCAGGATGGCTGCTATCCAAAAGTCTACAAGCAATAAATGCTGGAGAGGGTGTGGAGAAAAGGGAACCCTCTTACACTGTTGGTGGGAATGCAAATTAGTACAGCCACTATGGAACACAGTGTGGAGATTTCTTAAAAAGCTGGAAATAGAACTGCCATATGACCCAGCAATCCCACTTCTGGGCATATACACCGAGGAAACCAGATCTGAAAGAGACACGTGCACCCCAATGTTCATCGCAGCACTGTTTATAATAGCCAGGACATGGAAGCAACCTAGATGCCCATCAGCAGACGAATGGATGAGGAAGCTGTGGTACATATACACCATGGAATATTACTCAGCCATTAAAAAGAATTCATTTGAATCAGTTCTAATGAGATGGATGAAACTGGAGCCCATTATACAGAGCAAAGTAAGCCAGAAAGATAAAGACCATTACAGTATACTAACACATATATATGGAATTTAGAAAGATGGTAACGATAACCCTATATGCAAAACAGAAAAAGAGACTCCGATGTATAGAACAGACTTGTGGACTCTGGGAGAAGGCGAGGGTGGGATGTTTCAAGAGAACAGCATCGAAACACGTATATTATCTAGGGTGAAACAGATCACCAGCCCAGGTTGGGTGCATGAGACAAGTGCTCGGGCCTGGTGCACTGGGAAGACCCAGAGGGATCGGGTGGAGAGGGAGGTGGGAGGGGGGACCGGGATGGGGAATACATGTAAATCCATGGCTAATTCATTTCAATGTATGACAAAAACCACTGCAATGATGTTAAGTAATTAGCCTCCAACTAATAAAAATAAATGAAAAAAAAAAAGAAAAAAAAAAAGGTGAATGGGTAAAGAAGATGTGGCACATGCATGTTAATATAATGAAATACTACTCAGCCGTTGAAAAGAATAAAATGAGGCCGTTTGTAGCAACACGTATGGCCCTAGAACTATGATACTAAAAGAAGTAAGTCAGAAAGAGAAAGACAGACACTGTATGATATCACATCCGTGTAAAATCTAAAACAGGACAGAAACAAACCTCTCCAGGAAACAGACAGAAGCACAAACCGAGACAACAGCCTGGTGGGGGCCAAGGGGCAGGAGGGGGAGGGGTGGGCCGGGAGTCTGGGGTCAGCAGACGAAAGCCGGGGATGGGTGCGCAACAAGGTCCTACTGCACGGCACGAGGAGCCATGTCCAATGTCTTGTCATAAACTACGATGGAAACGAATCCGAAAAAGAATATTTATAACTGAATCGCTTTGCCCTACGCCAGCAACTGACACATCATATTAATAAATCAACTGTACTTAAATAAATAAATAAATGTAAGCCTGAATTTTCTCATCTATATTAATGAGTAGCTCACTAACTGTCAGTAACTTTCAGATGTTATTATGAAAGTTAATTAAGAAAAAATTCTTAGAGTGTGGACCACACTGTCTGGTATATACAAAAGTACAAAATAGATGTAAGTTACTTCTTTTTAACATTTGTCGTCCTCTATTTAACCTTATTCCAATATTTAGACTTGGTAGACATAGATAACTGTAAGAAATATTTCCAAATACTTTTGAAAAATTTCATTCATTTTTACCTCAATATTATTTCCTATTATTACTCTGTCTTTTCAGAAATTGTATTAATTTAAAAAATATAATGCCTCAATTTCTATGCCGTAAATACTGCTCACTGAAATCTAAGTACAGTCTCTACAAAGCTTACATAACTTAGTATACTTTACCTTTGGTACATATCTCTCCTCTTACTTTCTTCTAGAGCTCCTTTCAGTCGACTCTCAAAAAGTAACCCATCAACCTACAATAAATGGAGACTGTCTAAAATATCACATTGTTAAATCCCATATAACCTTAGGGAATAAAATTTTAATTTTTTCCCAAATATTTTATAATGAACATTTTAAAACACACGATAAAGCTGAAAGACTTTTACAGTGAACATCCACATGCCCACCACCTGGGTTCGGCCATCAGTATTTTACTGTACTTTTTTGATCCATCTATTCATCAACCCATCTAATTTTTTATGTATTACAAAGAAAATTACAATCACTAGTATATTTTCCCTTAAACAATACATCATGGGTATCACTAACTAGAGTTCAGTATTTGCTGTGAATTTTACGTACAATGAAATACACATTTCATCTTAAGACTGTATTTGCTAAGTTCTGGCAAGTGCCATGTAATCCAAACCCCTATCAACCTATAGAAAATTACCATTACTCCAGAAAGTTCCCAGAATGTACTCTTTTGTGTAATCATTTCACACAGCATATTTCTGAGATACTTCCATATCAGAAGTATACTTCCACATACACTGCTGTGTGTATCATTAGTTTATTCTTTCTTATTGCTGAGTAATACTCCCTGTATGAATAAACCACAAGTTTTTTTCTTTCTTATCCTCATTCTTATCTTATACTGTGACTTAGCAGTTTTCAAATACTATCTGTATTTGCCACTTCTTTTCCAAATACTATCTGTATTGTATCTGTAACTTTGCCAACATACCCACAAAAGAGGCACCTACATCTTTTGGATTCTATAGATGTGGAAAGGATAAAGTAGTTAAAAATAAATAAATAAAAATTCTCTACTGGTACCACTTTGCATCTGTTATTTACAACATCTACACACATGGTGACAGAGTTAGCCATCATAGGCATAACCCAGATGGGTCCTTCATAACTTGTCCCATGGATAACAGGGTGGAAGTCTGTGCCATTTTTTGCTCCAGGGTCCCCTGCGGAGGCTTCCCTGGTGGATCACACAGTAAAGAATCTGCCTGCCAACGTAGGAGACGTGGGTTCCATTCCTGGGTTGGGAAGATCCCCTGGAGAAGGAAATGGCAAACACTCTAGTATTCTTGCCTGGAGAATCCATGGACAGAGGAGCCTGGTGGGCTATATATAGTCCATGGGGTCCTAAAAAGTCGGCCGTGACTGTGCGTGAGCAGAAGCACGTCCTTTATGGGGTCAGGGAAGGAGGACCCCACAATATCACAGAGCCCTTCCCAGACACACAGGGTATCAAGAAGCTCAGGAGCCAACTGGGTTCCAGCGTGAATAACCCTGGTGATTGTTCTGTTTCATCTTTGTATCAGTAACAGTTGTTGTGGCTTACTTCTACAGCTTTTCCTGGTTCTGTCAATGTCCCACTAAATTTAAAATTCAATACAATATAAAGCATCTGGCCAAAGCTCAGCTTAAGTCAGTGTCTCATCAGCTTTTATTTTTATTTCTACCAGAACAGTATTCTATTTTGTTGTACCACTATAATTCCAATAGAGTTCCTTAAGAAATATTTATCCACCCAATCTTTTGTACTTTTTAAATCAAAGCCCAAAACTGGATAATATATGAGCATTCAGTACATCTTTTGTCTGCTAAAAGATTATAAAATCATTTTATTTAGTGGAAATAATACTTGGTAATATTAACAGATCAAATGAGAGATAAAAAGTAAAATTAGCAAGGTGAAATAGGAATTTCAGGAAATAAACAACCCATTCATCACTACTAACCTTTTTCTTAATTTTTAAAGTAGTATACAGTGTTCAAAATTATGAAAATATCAAAAAATATGAAGCAGAACAATAGTCAACTAGCATTCTACCACACAGTTTCCATCTTGGCATGCTTCTTTCCATATTTTTTCTAGGTATATTGCATATTGCTGCTGTTGTTTAGTCAATAAGTTGTGTCTGACTTTTTTGCAACCCCATGGACTGTAGCTCGCAAGGCTCCTCTGTCCATGGGATTTCCCAGGCAAGAATACTGGAGTGGGTTGCCATTTCCTCCTCCAAGGGATCTTCCTGACTCAGAGATGGAACCTGCAGGTTCCTACCGTGTCTCCTGCATTGCAGGAGATCACTGAGCCATATAAAAATTTTAAACTGAAATATTACATATTCAATTTTATATTTGTTCTAACTTGACATTTTATCACAAATATTTCCCCTAACATGTTAAAATCTCCATAACAAAATTTAATCACTGTATCATATCCCAATATAAGTTACTTAAACATTTTCCTACTACTGATTATTTAAGTTGTATCCAGCCTTTTCTAAGTATACTGTGATGAATACCTCCATCCCTCAACCTCTGTCTCAACTTTTTAAAGTATGGTTCAGCTCAGTTCAGTCGCTCAGTCATGTCCGACTCTTTGCAACCCCATGAACTGCAGCACACCAGGCCTCCTAGTCCATCATCAACTGCCGGAGTCTACCCAAACCCATGTCCATTGAGTCGGTGGTGCCATCCAACCATCTCATTCTCTGTCATCCCTTTCTCCTCCTGCCCTCAATCTTTCCCAGCATCAGGGTCTTTTCAAATGAGTCAGCTCTTCGCATCAGGTGGCCCAAGTATTAAGAGTTTCAGCTTCAACATCAGTCCTTTCAGTGAACACCCAGGACTGATCTCCTTGCAGTCCAAGGGACTCTCAAGAGTCTTCTCCAATACCACAGTTCAAAAACATCAATTCTTCGGTGCTCAGCTTTCATTATAGTCCAACTTTCACATCCATACATGACTACTGGAAAAACCACAGCCTTGTCTAGACAGACCTTTGTTAACAAAGTAATGTCTTTGCTTTTTAATATGCTGTCTAGGTTGGTCATAACTTTCCTTCCAAGGAGTAAGCGTCTCTTAATTTCATGGCTGCAGTCACCATCTGCAGTGATTTTGGAGCCCCCCCAAAAAATAAACTCAGCCACTGTTTCCCCATCTACTTGACATGAAGTGAAGGGACTGGATGCCATGATCTTTGTTTTGTGAATGTTGAGCTTTAAGCCAACTTTTTCACTCTCCTCTTTCACTTTCATCAAGAGGCTCTTTAGTTCTTCTTCACTTTCTGCCATAAGGGTGGTGTCATCTGCATATCTAAAGTTATTGATATTCTCCTGGCAATCTTGATTCCAGCTTGTGCTTCCTCCTGGAAATGCAATTACACAGCCTAGGAGCATAAATATCTTCTACATCTTGTCAAGGTGCTTTCCAGAAACGCTGTAACTTATACCCTGGGGCAGTAAAAGTACCTGTTTCATCACAGCCTCCCCAGTACTGAGCATCAATATTTTTTAAGTGTTTGTAGTATCTTATTTCCTTTGCAATTGCTTATCTTAGAAGTCAACTTTTCCATGTTTATGTGACCAGTATTTCTTCTTTAGTTCATGTAATTTCTCGCTTGTCAGGTCTTAACATTTTTCTTATATATTATTCTTTGATGCATATTTGGCTTGGGTTCATGGGAAGCTAAGGCACTCAACAGCCTCCAGTGGATGAGAGATAAAGGAAAGGAAGCTTGGAGAATGGAGGTAAGTGATGTTGAGTGCAGAGATGGATGGAATGTCATTAGTTTAGATTTGGAGGTGAGATGGGATAGAACAGTTGTTAGGTTGCAGATGGAGCTGTTAGGTGGGGTGGAGGGAGAGGAGGACAGCACTTAGTCGAGGATCCCATTTTCTAGCCTCCCCGGGGCTGGGTTGGGAGCGTGAGGGGTTAGAATCAGGGTTTGGTCCCGGGACGTTGCGCGTGGGGGAGGTTACAACTTGGAAAGGTCGGGTTGGGGACGACTCTCAGAGTTAGGGTGCGCCCCAGATCTCGCCCGCCGCCGGAGCCCAGGTCTCACACCAGACGGTACCTGCTGCTTCAGCTCCTGACTGCGGCGCTGCAAGGACTGGAGTGGGTCGCGCTGCCGCCTCGCCAGCATCTCCGTCGCCTAGGCGCGGAGAGCACACCGGTCGCCAGGGAAACCATGGCGGAAGCACCCGGACGTGACGCCATCACTACGCGTCCGGTTCGGCGCCCTGCAGCCCCGCAGGGAAGCTGATTCTGGAAGAATGTGGGGTTGATCCTGTCTTGAGGAAGCGGCTCCTTCATCCCGCAGGTCCGGAGCTCGCTGCTCAGGTTCAGTGCCCAGCAAGTCACATTTTCCTCGTCAATCCCAAAGGATTGGGGTGGAGGTGGGGGAGAACGTGCCGCTGCGTCCGAAACTACAAGTCCCATAATACTTAGTATTACCACATTCCTGCAGGGTTACTCGGATTCCCCAGCGGCTCAGCGGTAAAGAACCCGCCGGTAGTGCGGAATCCAGCAGGGTGGGGAAGATCTCCTGGAGGAGGGCATGGCAAGCAACTCCAGTATTCTTTCCTAGAGAATCCCATGAACAGCGGAGCCTGGCGGGCTACAGTTCATAGGGTCGGAAAGAGTCGGGCACGACTGAAGCGACTGAGCCTGCGCGCACCAATTTTGCTGAACTAATCTTGTGTTCGTCGCTGTCAGTCGAGTCGGACTCTTGCGATCCCATGGCTCCTCTCTGTCCATGGAATTCTCTAAGCAAGAATACTGGAGTGAGTTGCCATTTCCTTCTCCAGATCTTCCCCACCCAGGGATCAAACCCAGGTCTCCTGCATTGCAGGCGGACTCTTGGCCGTCTGAGCCACCAGGGTACTTGAAGCTTCTTAATGTCTTAAATGAACTGTACAGATAGTTTTCTTACATGGCTTATATGGGATTCGTGATTCTGCTGTATACTCTCACTTCACAAAGGCAGTATTTAATTCTTTGCTATTTGGGATATTGCTGGAGTATCACTTAATTGTAGTTTTTGCATCCTGAGTTCTATGTTCTAGGGATGGTCCTTCTGTTCTACAGGAAGTCTCTAACCGTGATTATGAGCTGCATTTTACATCTCTCAGGGAGGTTGTAATATTTCCCCAAGTGCGACTCATTCCTATAAATCCAATTCCCAAACTCTTCTCACGACGGGCGGAAGCTCACTTTTTAAAAGATGAACCATATTGATACATGTTTACAAGTTAATCCCACAGGCCAAGAGCCATGCTATTTACGTTCTTTCTTCAACAGAAAAGTGACAAGAACCACGTCAATTAATTTTCACTTTGAACACAGCTCCATGTAACATCAACCAGATTTGGATACTGGTGGTGATCAGCATCCTGGTAGTCTTCCCTTTTTTCTAGTCCTTGCCCACCTCCACTCCTACACTAAAAGTAAACAGTACCCCAACTTTCTAACTGTAAAAATTTGTCTTGCTTCTTTTTGAACTGAATAATGGATTCACACCGTGTACTGGCATCTTCTCAGGCTTCTTTCACTCAACCTGTTTGTGCAATGCATTTATATCATCGTGTAGGTTGTAGGTTGCTCCCTCTCATTGCTCTTTGGCATTTCATTGTATCACATATTCTAGTATACTCAAACTATTCTACTGTTGCTCTGTTTTATTTATAGCTCCTGTCTTCATTATGGCTCATGATACTTAAAATTCACTTAAATAGCTAGTTTTTCCACTAAAATTCCAACAACTGAGGGAGCGCTATAAAGTATTTTCAGATGGACTGACATACCAAGGGGACATTTCATGCAAAGATGGGCTCAATAAAGGACAGAAATGGATGGACCTAAGAGAAGCAGAAGATACTAAGAAGACGTGGCAAGAATACACAGAAGAACTGTACAAAAAGGATCTTCACGACCCAGATAATCACGATGGTGTGATCACTCACCTAGAGCCAGACATCCTGGAATGTGAAGTCAAGTGGGCCTTAGGAAGCATCACTACGAACAAAGCTAGTGGAGGTGATGGAATTCCAGTTGAGCTATTTCAAATCCTGAAAGATGATGCTGTGAAAGTGTTGTACTCAATATGCCAGCAAATTTGGAAAACGCAGCAGTGGTCACAGGACTGGAGAAGGTTAGTTTTCATTACAATCCCTAAGAAAAGCAATCCCAAAGAATGCTCTAACTACCACACAATTGCACTCATTTCACACGCTAGTAAAGTAATGCTCAAAATTCTCCAAGCCAGGCTTCAGCAATACATGAACCGTGAACTTCTAGATGTTCAAGCTGGTTTTAGAAAAGGCAGAGGAACCAAAGATCAAATTGCCAACATCCGCTGGATCATCGAAAAAGCAAGAGAGTTCCAGAAAAGCATCTATTTCTGCTTTATTGACTATGCCAAAGCCTTTGACTGTGTGGATCACAATAAACTGTGGAAAATTCTGAAAGAAACGGCATACCAGGCCACCCGACCTGCCTCTTGAGAAATGTGTATGCGGGTCAGGAGGCGACAGTTAGAACTGGACATGGAACAACAGACTGGTTCCTAATAGAAAAAGGAGTATGTCAAGGCTGTATATTGTCACCCTGCTTATTTAACTTATATGCAGAGTACATCATGAGAAACACTGGGCTGGAAGAAGCACAAACTGGAATCAAGATTGCTGGGAGAAATATCAATAACCTCAGATATGCAGATGACACCACCCTTATGGCAGAAAGTGAAGAGGAACTAAAAAGCCTCTTGATGAAAGTGAAAGAGGTGAAAAAGTTGGCTTAAAGCTCAACATTCAGAAAACTAGGATCATAGCATCTGGTCCCATCACTTCATGGAAAATAGATGGGGAAACAGTGGAAACAGTGGCTGACTTTATTTTGGGGGGCTTCAAAATCACTGCAGATGGTGACTGCAGCCATGAAATTAAAAGACGCTTACTCCTTGGAAGGAAAGTTATGACCAACCTAGATAGCATAATAAAAAGCAGAGACATTACTTTGCCAACAAAGGTCCGTCTAGTCAAGGCTATGGTTTTTCCAGGTAGTCATGTATGGATTTGAGAGTTGGACTGTGAAGAAAGCTGAGCGCCAAAGAATTGATGCTTTTCAACTGTGGTGTTGGAGAAGACTCTTGAGAGTCCCTTGGACTGCAAGGAGATCCAACCTGGGTGTTCATTGGAAGGACTGATGCTGAAGCTGAATCTCCAATACTTTGGCCACCTGATGCAAAGAGTTGAGTCATTGGAAAAGACCCTGATGCTGGGAGGGATTGGGGGCAGGAGGAGAAAGGGATGACAGAGGATGAGATGGTTGGATGGTATCTCTGACTCGATGGACATGAGTTTGAGTAAACTCTGGGAGTTGGTGATGGACAGGGAGGCCTGGCGTGCTGCAATTCATGGGGATGCAGAGTCGGACACAGCTGAGCGACTGAACTGAACTGAATGATCTTGTAAGAGGTAAGCAGAAAGAAAAAAAACTGCACTAAAGACAATCTGTCATTTAGGAAATCCTTATTTTACATATATATCTCTAAATAAATTAGGACAACTCTCTGTTTTATAGGGAGCTCCATATTTTACATGAAAAATTACAGGGTCATGAAGATGGTACAATTCTATGTTGGTAAAAATAAACCCCTTACATATGTGTACATGTATGAGGAATGAGGAAGGATGAAAAAAATTTATTACTCTTGTTTACCTCCAGTGGAGAGATGACTGATTTTATACACTTTTGTACCCTATTCAGAGTGACAAGCATTTCCTACCAGTTTTGGATTGGCATCATCATCACCCGGAAGTCTCTTAGAGACCCCTATGCTCAGGCCTCACCCCAGAACTGCAGGATCAGAATCTGTACTGATACTCCAAGGCTTTCTGCGCATGTTCAGGTTTGAGAAATAGCCCTTCAGTAATCACCATACTGTAAGGAATGCGCTCACTCAGCTGTGCTCTTTTCTAACTTAGGTTTCTTTTCACTTGTACCCTCAGCAGTCGCTTTAACACCACTCATTGCTCCTCCGCTGTCACCCCTTAATGCCATTGTGAAAATCAAGAGGAACGTAAAGCAAGACAGTTCTGCAATGAGGCAGCCAAAACCAAAGCAAACCACAGCCGTTGTTTCTCCTGAGAAGAATGTGTTTCATAAAAACTCATTATGATTTTCTTCCATCAGTGTGTTACAAAGAATATCAACCTTGTATGGCTTCCTCACAGGAGCTACCGAAAAAGAATTTAACAGCTTTGGAGAGGCTCGTAGTGGAGAACTAGTCCACTATGAGTCTCAGAAGCTGTTAACATTTTACATTTCACATCTCTCAGGGAGGTTTGTAATAACATTTCCCCACGTGGGGGTCATTCCTATAAATCCAGTTCCCAAAGTTTTCCCCCTACACCAATGATCTGAGCTCACTTTTAAAAAGATGAAAAAGAATTTAACAGCTTCAGAGACTCATAGTGAAGAACTAGTGGCTAACAGGGAAAAAGTAACATCTCCAAGTAAGGTAGTATTTTCAAGGGAAAAAAACCAAACACATTTAAATAGGGCAAGAGGTAGAGACAGAGGAGAAAGTGAGAGGCAACGTCAGAGATGGCTGTCCACCCAGCGATGGGCACACATGGGCACATGTAAAGGTGCAGGGGGCAGAACACAAGGGGCAGATGAGGAGCCGTGCGGTGGCTAAAACCACGTAAGGACCAGACGAAACTGGGGGCTGGACAGCACAGGCACTGAGGGGCAAGGATGATGGACATTGAGGCGAGATAGGAGAGGGAGGCGAGTGTGTCCAGGTGCTCCAGTAAGTACTAGAAAAGGAGTCAACATTGGGAAGACCAGGTGCACCACGAACCTGGCCCAAGAACAGGCCCAGAGAGAACTGGTCATACAGATGCTTAACTGGGCACATACTAATAGCCTGGAGGCACCACCGGCTTCCCAGGTGGTGCTAATGGTGAAGAACCCGCCTGCCAATGCAGGAGATATAAGAGAGCTGGGTTCTATCCCTGGGTCGCGAAGATCCCCTGGAGGCGGAAATGGCAACCCACTCCAGTATTCTTTCCTGGAGAATCCCACGGACAGAAGACCCTGGTGGGCTATAGTCCACAGGGTCGCAAAGAGTCAGACACGACTGAAGCGACTTAGCACATAGGGACTTGGTCACTCACTCTTGATTTTTAGACACAGTCGTCCTTTGGTACCACTGGAGGACTGGTTCCAGGAGCTGCCATGGACACCAAAATCTAAAGATGCTCAAGTGCCACAGTTGATCATTCCTGTCCATGTTTCCACATGCATGGCCTTAACCAACGGTGGATAGTAAGTGGGTACTGGTTCACTTACATGTAGATTTATTGAAAAAAAAATCTACATTTAAGTGGATCTGTGCAATTCAAACCCATGTTGTTCAAGGGTCAACTGTACTTGGGATTTATCACTAAGCTCTATTCAATGAGTTTTCTCTTTTACGTGTATATTCTGTTAATGATACGAAAGAAATTTCTGTCAATAAAAACTTATACTTTGTGCCTGGAGTATGTTGTCACCCTCAGAAGTGTGAAGGTCTTACATATATTACCTTACCTCAGGTGTTTTTATACAGTTGTTTGGTTTCCAGAATAGCTCCAGCAAATCTGCTGAGCAAAGGGGCTGGTAATGGTTCCGAGACCAACTTTGCTTTGCAGTTGTACCAATGAACTAGCACAGATTCCTTAGAAAACAAGGTATGCTATCAAAAACAGTAATTATCAGTTTTGAGGCTCCAGCTCTCTTAATGCAATGATACTCCTTTCCCTTTTAATATAAGGTTCAAATACGTTTACTTTTTATTTTAAAAATAAAATTGATTCATAAAGTGCAAGGAGAAATTATTTCTGTCCAGTTCTCCATATCCATCTTCAATGAGCTGTTGGAAACAGAAAAGAAAAATAAAAATTAGAAATACATAACATAACTTCAAATTATTTGTACCGTTTAGTTAAACCATGAACAATAAGATTGGTGTTACAGATAAGAAAACTGAGACCCTGGAAGTCTGCAGAGCTCTAATGAAAAAGCCAAGACTAGATTCAAAGCTCCTGACTTCCAAGCCACTCACTGTTCTTTCCACTTTCCCAGCCTGCCAAAAAGCTAAGAATTTAGACTGGAGATGACAAAGCATGAATGCAAAGATGTACTACGGTGCTATCAAAGATATTTTTAAATACAAACTGATCAGGGAGAAAGAGTGGTAGGAACACCTCCACGGTCCGTCTTTTTGCTTTCTACTTTTTCGAGTGTTTTCCATTTTGAAGCTTAATGTTGTCAAGGTGCATAAGTTTGCACGTGGTTAGGGCAGTCCCGTTAAACACGCACAGGAACTGAACTATGGCACTAAAGTGTGCGTTACCATGGAAAACATAACTTTCTCCTCTTTCTCGGGCCCTTGAAACCCTTCTGCCCCAAGATATTCGTCTATCTCCAAAATCTGCCGTTAAAGCGCTGCTATAAATACTGCTCACCAACTCCAAGACAAGCCTGGCACTGCGGGCGGAGGGCGTGAGACGGGCCTAGCTGTGGCCGAGGCGCCGCACGGGACAGGCTAGATGGTCTCGAGGTGGTCGCGCGGGAGTCGGCGGAGACCAACAGGGCGGGGATCTCAGGCCAGATCCAGCTTCTTCTGCATCGCCGCCAGCTTGTCTTGCAGCCTCTTCTTCCTCCAGTCCAGGTAGCGCCGCCGCAGCCGGTTTGCCTGCCAGCCCACGAGCACTCCGGAGGCGAAAGCCACCAGTACAGATAACTGCAGCGTCCTCTCGGACACGTCCGCCATCGCGAACGCGGGGCCGTGCAGCGAGGCTACGGCGGTGCGGCGGGGTCAAAAGACCTAGCGCGTTCAGGGGCGGGCACATGGGGCGGCGCTTCTCTTGAATCTCGTCGGTGGGTAGAGAATACGCCTGCAATGCAAAAGAAGAGAGTTCGATCGCGGGTCGGCAAGGTCCCCTGGAGAAGGAAATGGCAACCCCCTCCAGAATTCTTGCCTGGGAAATACCATGGACAGAGGAGCCTGGTGGGCTATAGTCCATGGGGTCGCAAGAGTCAGACAGAGACTTAGCGACTAAACCACCACCACCTGTTGAAGACTTGCTTGGCTTTCCTACATCCCCATCTTTCCCTCCTCAGAGCCCTTACCGCACGTGTTTGGCATTCATCAGATCTTTCCTTGCATTATTACCTAACTTCAGTGGTGCCTCTTTCTAACCCCATGGGCAGTTCAACCTCTTTATATTTTCTCGAAGCCGTAGAATGTGAACCAAGTATGTGACTTTAAATTTTCTGGGGAAAAAAAAATAATTTGCTGGTAACTTATTAAGAATGCAAACAGAATGAAATTGTTAATATGTATTTTACTTAGTTTACATAGAAGAAGTTATTATGAGGTTTTTTCTTTTTTTATATTAAAAGTCTATGAAATCTGGTGTAGATGTTATAATTAACCAAACATCTCAATTTGAACAGTAAATTTTTAGTGCAGATATTTGATCAGTTTCTAGAATTTGTAAAAGTTGAAAAGTTAGATTCACATACCCACATCGTTCCAAATACATGTAAAAATTTCTCCAATGAGTTGAATATTGGTTTGTATATTAAAATTCATTAAATTGTTTCTATAGATTTATTTTATTTTATTTGGCTGCAGCAGGTCTTGGTTGCAGCATACAAGATCTTTTCAGATGTGGCATGGGAGCTTTTGGCCTTTCCTGGTAGCTCAGCTGCTAAAGAATCTGCCTGCAATGCAGGAGACCCTGCTGGAGAAGGGATAGGCTACTACCCACTCCAGTCTGGCCTGGAGAATTACATGGACTGTATAGTCCATGGGGTTGCAAAGAGTCAGACACGACTGAGTGACTTTTACTTTCACTTGTGAGCTTTTAGGTGTGGCATTTGAGCTCTTAATTGCAGCGTGAGGAATCTAGTTCCCTGACTAGCTATCAAACTTGGGTTCCCTGAACAGGGAGTTTGGAATCTTAGCCACTGGACCACCAGAGAAGTCCCTAAATTGTTGTAAAAGATTCAAAAATTGGTTCTTCAGTCACACTAATCACACAGGCAGCTTTATTGTTCAGTCGCTAGTTGTGTCTGACTCTTCGGGACCCCACGGACCGCAGCACCCAGGCTCCTGTGTCCTTCACTGTATCCCAGAGTTTCCTCAAACTCATGTCCATTGAGCCAGTGATGTTTTCTAACCATCTCATCTTCTGCCATCCCCTTCTTTTGCCTTCAATCTTTTCTAGCATTAGTGTCTTTTCCAATGAGTTGGCTGTTCACGTCAGGTGGCCAAAGTATTGGAACTTCAGCTTCCGCATCAGTCCTTCCAGTGTCTGTTCAGGGTTGATTTCCTTTCAGATTGACTGGTTTGATCTCCTTGCAGTGCAGGGACTGAGGAGACCATAGTTCAGAAAGACGCACGCTCGTTGTTTCCTGAGCCCACTGCGCAGGGTGCCACCTGAGGGCGTTTCCAGGGTGGTCTTCCTGCGTGGTGTACTTTCCCCCGGATACTTTCAGGACTAACTCCTTCACCTTCTTTAGGTTTCTGCCAACTCTCAGTTTCTTAACGGGACCTAGTTAAACGTCACAAGCCCAACAAATCCCCGCTGTCTGGTACTTCTGCTCTCTGTTTTCCTGCTTTCTTCTCTTACTCCATCCTTACTGCCCTCCATGTGCTGTGGAATTTATTGGCCTGGCCAAAAATTTCATTCAGGGTTTCCATAGTATGTTACCAAAAATCCAAACAAACTTTTTGGCCAACCCAATACTTACTTAATACAAAAACTGTTTATCTCCAGATCCCCTGCTACTATGTAAGCTACTTGAGGGTGGTTTTTTTTTTGTTTTTTTATTTTTTGGTCTCAGTTGTATATTGATGAATCCCAAGTGCCTACAATAATGGCTGGCACATGGTGTTAGTTGCTCAGTTATGTCTGACTCTCTGTGACCCCATGGACTGTGGCCCACCGGGCCCCTCCATCCATGGGATTCTCCAGGCAAGAGTACTGGAGTGGGTAGTCATTCCCTTCTCCAGGAGATCATCCTGACCCAGGGATCAAACCTGGGTCTCCTTCATTGCCAGCAGATTTTTTACCGTCTGAGGTCTGCACGTAACAGACACTTAGTAAACATTTCATGTTGAGTGACAGGCAGGGAGTGGTTACAAGAGGCTTATTCATGGGTGACTGAACTAAATCTTCCATTGTGCCCACTGCCGCCTGCCTGTCCACGGGGGGTTTGAGGAAAGAAGAAACGAGAGATTGTAAAGGAGTTTAGATTTTGTTAGGCATATGTCCCTCCAGCCATAGGCGCGAGGACCTCCTACCTTAACCGGAAGTCTTCTGGAATCTGAGACTGAGCCACGTGAGTTTTTGCTGTCCCGGTTTGCAGCACGATGGTCCTCCTGTCACTTCCCTTGCGCTGGGTTTTCTTCGCGTTCCGCTTCTACTGCAGGAGCTTCGCTGAGTTGAGCTCCTGCTGCGCCTGGCCTCTTCTGAGCGGAGGTTGTTTCAGCCAGGTTAAACCCGAGTCACGGCATCATAGATGTCAGGCGAGTGTATGCTCCTCGGTTTTTGTCTCATCCCAACAAAGATTTGGAGTGACGGACACTAAAGCCCTCGGCGTGTCATAGTGCTCGGGTCTTGGACAGACCATGTTATAGCTCTTAGAGAAATCAGTGTTACAGCTCTACTTTATTTAGAAGATAGCAGGAAAATCCATTTTCAAGGCGTGAGGGCACGTCGATCCAAAGACGCGAAGAGAAGAGCACCACAGCGTGCGGGAGAGAGAGAAAGTCCGAAATGCTCAACAAAAGAGTCCGAAACGCAGTACTTGGATGCAATCTCAAGAATGACAGAATGATCTCTGTTTGTTTCCAAGGCAAACCATTCAATATCACGGTAATCCAAGCCTATGTCCCAATCAGTAAGGATGAAGAAGCTGAAGTTGAACGGTTCTATGAAGACCTACAAGACCTTTTAGAACTAATACCCAAAAAGGATGTCTTTTTCATTATAGGGGACTGGAATGCAAAAGTAGGAAGTCAAGCAATACCTGGAGTAACAGGCAAATTTGGCCTTGGAGTACAGAATGAAGCAGGGCAAAGTCTAATAGAGTTTTGCCAAGAGAATGCCCTGGTCATAGCAAACACCCTCTTCCGACAACACAGGAGAAGACTACACATGGACATCACCAGGTGGTCAACACCGAAATCAGATTCATTATATTCTTTGCAGCCAAAGATGGAGAAGCTCTATACAGTCTTCTATACAGAAGCAAAAACAAGACCAGGAGCTGACTATGGCTCAGACTATGAACTCTTTAATGCCAAATTCAGACTTAAATTGAAGAAAGTAGGGAAAACCACTAGACCATTCAGGTATGATCTAAATCAAATCCCTTATGATTATACAGTGGAAGTGAGAAATAGATTTAAGGGACTAGATCTGATAGACAGAGTGCCTGATGAGCTATGGACGGAGGTTTGTGACATTGTACAGGAGACAGGGATCAAGACCATCTCCAAGAAAAAGAAATGCAAAAAAGAAAAATGGCTGTCTGAGGAGGCCTTACAAATAGCTGTGAAAAGAAGGGAAGCCAAAAGCAAAGGAGAAAAGGAAAGATACACCCATTTGAATGCAGAGTTCCAAAAAATAGCAAGGAGAGATGACAAAGCCTTCCTCAGTGATCAATGCAAAGAAATAGAGGAAAACAACAGAATGGGAAAGACTACAGATCTCTTCAAGAAAATTAGAGATACCAAGCGAACATTTCATGCAAAGATGGTTGCGATAAAGGACAGAAATGGTATGGACCTAACAGAAGCAGAAGATATTAAGAAGAGGTGGCAAGAATACACAGAAGAACTGTTCAAAAAAGATCTTCACTACCCAGATAATCACAATGACGTGATCACTCACCTAGAGCCAGACATCCTGAAATGTGAAGTCCAGTGGGCCTTAGAAAGCATCACTACGAACAAAGCTAGTGGAGGTGATGGAATTCCAGTTGAGCTATTTCAGATCCTGAAAGATGCTGCTGTGAAAGTGCTGCACTCAATATGCCAGCAAATCTGGAAAACTCAGCAGTGGCCACAGGACTGGAAAAGGTCAGTTTTCATTCCAATCCCTAAGAAAGGCAATGCCAAAGAATGTTCAAACTACCGCACAATTGCACTCATCTCACACGCTAGTAAACTAGTGCTCTAAATTCTTCAAGCCAGGCTTCAGCAATACATGAACCGTGAACTTCCAGATGTTCAAGCTGGTTTTAGAAAAGGCACAGGAACCAAAGATCAAATTGCCAACATCCGTTGGATCATCAAAAAAGCAAGAGAGTTCCAGAAAAGCATCTATTTCTGCTTTATTGACTATGCCAAAGCCTTTGACTGTGTGGATCACAATAAACTGTGGAAAATTCTGAAAGAAATGGCATACCAGACCACCTGACCTGCCTTTTGAGAAATCTATATGCAGGTCTGGAAGCAACAGTTAGAACTGGACATGGAACAACAGACTGGTTCCAAATAGAAAAAGGAGTACGTCAAGGCGCTATATTGTCACCCTACTTATTTAACTTATATGCAGAGTACATCATGAGAAGCTCTCGGCTGGAAGAAGCACAAACTGGAATCAAGATTGCCAGGAGAAATATCAATAACCTCAGACATGCGGATGACACCAGCCTTATGGCAGAGAGTGAAGAGGAGCTAAAAAGCCTCTTGATGAAAGTGAAAGAGGAGAGTGAAAAAGTTGGCTTAAAGCTAAACATTCAGAAAACTAAGAT